GAAGCAACTCAAGGGTGATGATGGGAGGGAGGGAATGAGAGAGAAAGAAGAAACAGCTGATACTGAGCAAAAGGAAAGAAATGTACAAATCACTTGATTTGGAAGAAACAACTTTATTGTTAAAGTCTGAAGAGTTCATAAGTTTTGTAGATCAAGACAATGACAAGATGCATTGTAAAGGTCAAAATGTGTTAGTAAATTTAGCTAAACTGTCAAATTTATGTAAGTAATCTAAATAAAGAAAAAGTGTTACTGTTTTAAAATACTGACTAAAACCTTGATTAATGTTTATTAAATTTTCACATTTTTGTGTAAATCTATTATTAAATTCATTATTAATTTCAATATTAACCATGTAATTTTGTTCGAGTCAGCTACCAATGGCTCCCTTAGAAGGCTTGGATCTGAGGATCACAGTTCAAAATTAGCCTGGACAGAAAAGTCTATGAGACTCCATTTTTAACTTCCAAGTTAAAATGTGTGACTGGACGTATTTCTCAAATGGTAAAATGCCACTTGTAAAGAAGAAAGCCAAGAAAGGGAACTTGGGACCCTGATTTCTAGGGCTGGTATACACATACACACACACACACACACACACACACACACATACACACTCACAATTTATTCCATAAATTGAATTTTAATTCCTTTTTCTTCCCTCCATCCAACTCTGAGAATAGTCAATCCTGTATTTAATTTTTTTTTAAAGCAAATGATGTGCTTTCTTCAGATGGTCTGTGTATGCCACTGTGGGTAATCCCAATGATTCCAAAGGCTCAAAACATACCAGGAAATAAAAAAGGGTGTGGGAGAGAAAAAAATACCCAATATATTAAAGCCACATAATCTTTCATTAAAAACCAACCCAATCTGCGTGAGCAAAAGAAAAAAAAAGAAAAGAGAAGCCCACCCGTGGCATGTGTAGCACCCCAACATGGAGATGGGTGTGAATAGCATGAATAGGCTATGGATACTGTCCGTGCCCTCTGGGCCTTCTGCTCAGGATCTTCCACTTCTTGTTGCTGCTGAACCTACGCCCAGACAAGGGCAAGGTCCTGTGGTATTCGAGAGCCAGGTGCAGTCCCTCACTTGATGGCCCAGGTCTCCATCCTGATGATGATCACTGCCCCATGCCCCAGGGTATGGTGGGAGAATCCTTCAACTCCCAGAGCAGGATCTTGATCCTCATCTTCCACAAGAGGCACCAAACCATGCACAGGGCCTGGGCAGCTTGGACATGATGGTTGTCAGGTCAGGGGAGGGCCTGATGCACGTGGTTAGGCCTACTCCCTAGGTTGGTTGGCCTGTATGGTGGATGTGGAAACTCCCAGAGGCATAAGCTTCACTCCTGTATAATAGGTGGTGAATGGCTTACATACCAACCAGACTTGGATACTGCAATCTGAAGTCTTTAGGCAACTTATTGGTAGCTTCCACCAGCCAAAGGGATAGGAGGTAGAAATTCTCTAACTGGCTTTGAGAACATACAAAGGTAAGAATATTGGCTTGAGTTTTATGGTTTTCTAAATTTTTTCACTTATTTTCTTCACTTATACTAATCCATCCAAACTCATATTTACCTTCTTTTTCTCCCCAGGATTCCTTTGGTAAAATAATTGTGGAGTGTGTGTTAAGATTTTCTATTTTCTTTTAGATATGGTTCAGATAGATATTATACAATTTGCTCTACATACATATTTTTACCATTGTGATTACCCATAAGGGACAAAGAAAAATAATAGCACCTACATTAAAATTGGGCTGGGAAGGTGGCTGAGTGGTAGAGTGCTTGCCTTGCATGCATGAGGCCCTGGGTTCAATTCCTCAGCACCACATAAGCAGAAAAAGCTGGAAATGGTGCTGTGGCTCAAGTGGTAGAGGGCCATCCTTGACCTGAATTGCTGAGGGACAGCACCCAGGCCCTGAATTCAGGTCCCATGACCAGCAAAAATAATAAAAAAATTCTGCCTTTGATTAGATATTTTCTTCAATGTAAATTCTAATTTATTTTGCTCAGGTCTTATTTTTTTTTCTGTCGTGGGGCTTGAACTCTGGGCCTAGATGCTGTCCCTATGCTCTTCAGTTCAAGGTAAGCATTTGACCACTTAAGCCACAGGGTCACTTCTGGTTCTCTGAGTGGTCTATGGGAGATAAGATTCTCCGGAGTTTCTTGCCCAGACTGTCTTTGAACCTACATTCTCAGATCTCAGCCTCTTTAGCAGCTGGGATTACAGGCTTGAGCCACTGCTGGAGCCAACCGTTCCCAGTGATTACTCAATTCTTTGCATGCTAAACGGCTGATGTATGACTGCTTCTACCTAAAAGTTGTTTTCCTTCAAATATTGCCTATGAAAGTTAGAAGAGTGATATGTAAAGTGATGCAATTTGAAAACAGCAAAATATTATGGTCTAAGATCCCTCAAGTTTGTAGAGTTTGCACTCAGTGCAATGTCAGTCTACATGTGATTCTCCTGTTCTCCCTAGTTTAAAACCAAATGTAAAATATCAATTTACAACCAGTTTGTCTAAGGGTAATTACTTTATATTTTTTAAAATGTCATGTTGAGATCAAATGTTTCAAAGACTTAATTTAAAAATCAATTTTTAAAAATTCAGCAAGAAAACCAGGTGCTGTTGATTCCTGCCTGTTTTCCTAGCTACTCAGGATGCTGAGACCTGAGGATCAGGCTTCAAAGCCAGCCCAGGCAGGAAAGTCCATGAGACTTTTCTCTCTAATAAACCACAAGAAAAGGAAAAGTGGTGCTGCAGCTGAAGTGGTAGAGCACACTCCTTGAGATGAAGAGCTGAGGGACAGTACCCAAGCCCTGATTTCAAGCCCCATGTCTGACAAAACAAACAAACAAACAAACAAACTCTGTAAGGAAATAATGAAATGTAAAGGAAGAGGGAAGTTAGAAAATAAAAGCCTTGAGAATGGGAATTGAGGAAACAAGTTGGTTTCATTTGGATAAAAAAAAATGATTTGAGAAGCAAAAATTGTCTTCACTCTTTCTAACCACAAAATGTTTAAGTAGCACATGGTCTGATTAGGTCTTGAGTTTCATAAAATAGAGATCATTATAAAATAATTGGTATTAAACAATTTGGGAGATTACCAATAAAATTAATAATAACACGTGCAGGTGAGGATATGGCCAAAAGAAGTTGTAACATCATTGGTAACATAATATGAGAAAAGATATAATATTACATGAACACTACCCACACACACTAGTATGGCGTCTTGTTATGTCTATGTTTATATATGACAAGTTTTTATCATGACACTACTTAGATGCTGAAATCCTGATTCAGGGTCAGCTCCAATCAACCCATGAATAGAAAAAGTAAATTGAGTTACACAGACACAATGGAGTCTTGGGCATGTAATTATATATTTGAGTCAGAAATATGGGAGGAAGTGGATATCATTGTGTTCAGTAAATCACTCTGATAACTGCATCAGTGGTATATACTGAACACTGTGTGAAAAATTAAGCATACAACCAGTGGGTAGGGAAGGGAGGGGAACAAACTGGGTAATATTGTAAAGAAGTGACCTAAGAGTGTGCTGACTCAGTCACGTGATTGACAGGTGACTCCTGGTTTCAGGTAGGTGAAGAGGAAGTCGAGAGGAGCTGTTCTTCTGGGCAGATTTAACAGAAATAGAGTAATAGATTAGGAGAACAGGGTAAAAGTTTGTCTTCAGAGCCAGGCTGGGGAGGCTAATACCTGTAATCCTGGGTACAGGAAGCAACAAAGATTTCTACCTCAGAAGCCAAGTCAGAGCTTGGCCCCAGCTCTGGACCTCTTGCAAGGTCTTGCCTACCAACACCAAAAAGCATGTGCATCCTGACTTTTCCAACTTACTTTTGCCAAGTCCTTCCTGATAAACACATGGAGTCAAATCACAGAACCAGCCACCATGGTGAAGTCTGTGGGGAGTAGGAACCTTCGCTGTGACCTTGGATTCACTTCTATTATGAGGAACAAATAAAGGAGACAGGTAGGGAGACATGGACAGAGCAGGGACCACATGCCTGTCCAAGTGGGATACAATAATTTCCCCAGCACCTGGAACATGAAGGAGACACACAGCAGAACAAGATCCATCCATACACACACAGCTTCCAGGATCCTTACTGGATAGGCCTGCTAGGTTCCTAGAAAGTCATAGATCATAGAACATCCCTGTCTAGCAGTGGATACCCACAGTTTATTTATAGATGCATTCTGCTGGTCAAAGGCATTTAAGCACTGAAGAAGTTCAAGTTTCAGAACACGAAGTCTAATTGGATGTGTGTCCTGACCTTGAAGTATTGAACTCTATTGGTTGAATTCATTGAGACTGTTGGTAACACCTGCAGGAGTAAATTTCATTGACCTCTTCTGGATGCTTCTGTATATGGAGTTGGTATGGAAACCTGAATGTGTCATTTCAGTAAACTTCTGTGGCTCCCTTGGCCCTGGGTTTGTGAGTCTGCCCATCCTCATCTTTGATCCTGTTCCAATAACTCTGATGGTGCCTTTGCTGGCCATGGTAATCTATGCCCTTTGACCTTCACCTGGCATCCTTTGGTGTTATCTATTCCCATCATCGCTAATGGCTTTCCTATGGGACTTTAAGTTGTGTGATTATTTTCTTTTCAACTTTTTGCTTTCACACAATTTTGTGAACAACTCAACAAGAAAAGAATCCATCCCTGGAGTTTCATTATCTACAGTCTTGGATTAAATCACAGTCCTGAGGGTGTGGAGAAGATGGTACACATGTTTTTCAACTTGTGTTTTGATCTTGAAGTCAGACACCAGATGCTGAGCTAGAGGGCAGAAAGGGCTCTATATTCCTCTATGACAGTGGAGGAGGCCCATGGTGTGTCCCAGTGGCCATCCAGCTAACAATAAGCCACAAAAACTGAAGATTCATTTAGACACCCATCTGAAACTGCAGGCTCAGTCTGCATCCAGAATCACAGTTCCAGGCCAATGCAGCAGCAATGTTCCCTGTGTCTCTGATGCTGCTTCTCCCTGAGCTTCTGCTCGTGTTATGTTCCTCTGAAGATGACCAACACATTTGCACAGAGAAATCTGTGGCACACAGCAGGGGAGATGTGGTGATTGCAGGGTTTTTCCCCTTTTATTCTTGGGAATGGCTTCAAAACATTAATGACCTTGTCGTGCAGCAACAGAGCATTCAGTAAGTGATTTCTTGGGTTTTCTTAAAATTTGCATTTTTGTTTGGTTAATTACACCTTTGGCAGGGTGAGTGGTGGGGGGTTGGGGGTCGTAGGGGGGAGTGCGGGTCGCAGGTGGAGAGTGGAAGGGATAGTATGGGGAAACAAAGAAGGAGGCAACAATGCTTGATAAGAAATGTATTCACTATCTTGCCCATGTAATTGTAACTCCTATGTATGGTATTTTCACAAAAAAAGTAGTTGGGGGAAGTTTGGATGCATCCACTAATGTTCTCTGGATCTTCTACATTGTCCTCACCCCAACAGCTCTACTTTATTTCAGATTTTCCTGATGAATATTGTTCAGCCTCCCAAGGGGTAGAGAGGTCTCTGTCTGTCTTCCATTCCACTCCCATTTCCCAGGGCTGTCCCAACAACCCCACCATCATTGTGACTCCTGCAGCCTGAACTGCCTTGGTTCAGGGTCATTTGGGTGACCAAGAGTCCATACTAACATTCCAAAGCACAATGTCCTCATCTACAGGTCAAAGGCCAGGGAATCTTCAATCAATTCTGTCCTTATTCTTTTTGGACCTCCTTCAGGGCAACATTTCTTAGGCTAGACATGCAGTTTTTGCTTCTGGGGTTATTTCATGTCAGCAAAGCTCTGGGAATGGGGAGCTGCTGGTCAAATCAGGAATAAGAGATCCCTGACAAGTTTGATTTTTTTCCCCTTATCTATGTAAATGAACCCCAGGCCTGCTTTCCATGTGTGAGTGTGTCTACTATGTCATTTCCAGAAGCTCTGCTTCTGTTCCTTGTTCTTTGACAACTAGCCAGGTTATCTATTTTCCCCCTGCTCATAAATTCCTATAATATATTTGAATGTGTTTTTCATATGCTTTGTTTTTTTGTTGTTATGGGAGCTTGTACTGTAGGTCTTGACGCTGTCTCTGAGCTCTTTAGTGCAAAGCTAAGGCTCTACCTCTTCAGGAACAGTACCACTTCCAGTTTTCTAGTGGTTTATTTGAGTTAAGAGTCTCACTGACCTTTCTGCCCAGGCTGCCTTTGAACTTCCATCCTCAGATCACAGCCTCCTTAGTAACTAGGATTACAAGCATGAGCCACCGGCACCTGGCTTTTTCATGTGTTTTATGCACTCTTTGATTAATGCGTTTGACCCAGGTGAGCTCACTACTTTCAGATCTACAGAATTCTCTGTAAACTAGGAAGTCACAGATGAATCTTCTCAGACAACTTGTGTGGAAACACCCTGTATGGGCTTTATTCAGGAGAGGAATAGTTTATTCCATGAGAGATTTGTGAGGGATATTGAAGCCAACTGAATGTGATGTGGAAGTGAGTGAGCCAGATGGGGCTAATGTGTAAACCCAGCATTAGAAATGTACCCCCATAGGAGATGGGAGATGTCAGAGCTGTCTTCTGCTCTGTCCATTCTCTAATTGAGCTGTGTATGTGTGTGTGTGTGTGTGTGTGTTCACACATGCTCTTGTACACAGGAGTGAACTCAAGTCCTGATAGCTGTCCCTTAACATTATTTTCTCTCATGACTGGCATTCTACCCCTTGACCCACAGCTCTGTTATCAGTTTCTGTGTGTTTTATTGTACATAACAGTCTCACAGACATTCTTGCCCAAAGTGACTACAAAACATAATTCTCTGATCTCAGTCTCCTTAGAAGCATAATTAAAGGCCTGAGCCACCAGTTCACAATTAATGTTTAGTATTATTCACATTCTAGCTGTCAAACCTCTGAGTTACATTGTACAAGAGGACATCAAAAACAACCACGAGAACTGAGATTCTGTCTATGAGAATTTCTCCAAACTGATTATATTGAATGCTAGGAGAATGCATTATTCTGGAAAATTTTTGATTCATATTGGACATGTGATACCATCTGGCCTTTGAAATGTCTCAGAATTAGACCAGTCTGCCTGGTCTGGCTTTGTGCCTGTCTTTCCAGAAATTCCAGGCAGGCTTCAGAGTTCCTGAGTCTGTAGCGACTTCCACAATGTCACCACTAGAGGGAGGAAAGGCCTTGCGGAAAGTCAGCTGTGAGGTGATAAACCACTTCAGTAGCAGAGAAAGTCAAAGGCAAGTTGGGTGACAAATACTCTGTGGTTCTAAAAGCCTCAAGAGAACCCCACAGAGTCGAGGGTCCCAGCATCCTCCTCTTGGGGCATGCGTGTGCTCATATGCCTTATGTACAGGGAATAGCCATCTGAGGAGATTCTGTATTGCAGTGGCAAGATCTTTGTTCTGGAACAGGCCTTCGTCACAACTGTGGCCACCAGAACTCTATTACACCTGGAATACCAACCAGCAGGGTCACCAAAATAGGTGAAGGTTAATGAAGTTTCCCTCTAAAAGTAGGCACTCTTCACTTAGGGTTCTTGACTTTGATCTCAAAATAAGAAATTCTATGCAAGTCACAATGATAAGAAAATGTGGCAGAGTATTACAAACAAGCAAGCAAGTAAACAAACAGGAAACAGTAATTCAAAGATACACTCTAACAGAGTAGAGATACACAGCTCTTGGGCTGCCAATGGTATTTATATGGTAAAGGTTGGAGGTCTCACTTCAAAGTTATGCAAACATAGGTTTTTCATCTTTGTTCTAATCACTCCTGGTGTTATACTTTCTGAGTTTCTGTAAGTTTTGGACATTCTTTCCAGCAAAGAAAGCATCCTGCCCTAAAAGAGATGATTACCCTTGATCTGAAGAAGGCATGCTGTTGTCTATATTTTGGCTAGAAGGTTGCTGATGTTTTGGGAGATCATTTTTTGGAGAAGGCATACATGTTGCCAGACAACTGTTAATTCCTATGATGAGAAATGCATTGTCAAGAAGAAATGCATCCTGTTGTCTCTCTTTGAAGCAAAGATAGTGCCTCTGTTTTTCTAAATCATGTTTCTGAGTTGCCTTCACCAGGACTTATATTACTCAATTTATCCAGCTTCATTTTCTGCTCAATGACTTTGGTCCCTTAGTCTTAAGGTACCAAGGATGAATGAATAGCTCTCTATGTGCCGTGAGCTTACTATACCTAATTTTCTCCTAATTTTTGCTACTACATTTTCCAGTAAATTACTTTGTTCCCTTAATATTAAGAGAAGTAGATGGATAAACTTCAAGCTTGAGTTTTGAATTCCTGGCAAGCATTAACCAGGCCTCATTTTCCCTAGTCTACTCTGCCTCATCATGACATCCTCAGTCCTTTGCAATCAAGACCAGGACAGTGCTGGGTGAGCACTAAGATCCACTCAGTTTGTATGTGGTAGAGGTTCACTCATATGCCAAGAAGGCTAGGATCATACCCAATTAGAGATAGTTAGAATAGAATTCAGATTGTCTGGTTGACTTTCCCAGGTACTGAGGTGATTATAGAGCTCTGCCAGAGGTTGGCCTGGCTATGGGGTCATAACAAGGTTTTAGTGCTATCACCTGGCCCACACTAAGCTGTGGGACAATATCACCATCTTACTTCCCCATCCAACCTATGACAAGGGAGATGGAGAATTATGCTGAGCCAGAGCAGCATGGTAAGGTTTGTAAAGAAAGCCACAAGCTTGGCACCGGTGGCTAATGCCTGAAATCTTAGCTGCTCTGGAAGCTGAGATCTGAGGATCGGGGTTCAAACAGTGCCTCTAGTTTATTCTGGATTATTGATTCAACCATGACTGCTTGACACAGGGTTCTAAGAAAAACCCTGACCCACTCTTATGCCCTGCTCACTGGGAGGTTTTATCCCATACCTGCTGTTGTTCACAAGATTGGAGGAGGGGGGTTGCAGCAGTTTCTTCCTTCCTAAGCCAGTTCCAGAGGCACAATCTAAAGATCTGGACCCAAGAGTAGAGACTACAAGCACTTCCCCAGCACTGCTCTCTGTATATGGGGATGATGCTGAGATTTAACATTAATTCTCTTCCTCCCTGAAATGTCAGAGGGTTTCTGGTCCATACTGAGGTATTAATGCTGATGATAGGTAGGGGAGACAGCTTCTTCCAACTTTCTCACACACCCTTCTCTGTTGTTTTGTTCTACTAGAGAAGTATCCTCTGGTCCACACCCATGACTCTAATCTGTTCTTTGTTGGGTTAGGCAATCTTCATGTTCTATCTTCCTCGACTGCCATCTTGCTCTGGTTCTGTGGAATCCCCTTTAATGATGACATTCTCTGGGTCAGCTTAGTGTGCCTCAACCCACATAACATGAATTGTATTTCTTTGTTTTCTTTAGCTTCCTCACAAGGCAAGTTGTACTTCTTTGCAGAAGGGTGCCCCACCAGCAAAAGTTTGGCAAGGGAGCACAGACAGAAGGCAGCTCATTTCCTTATTTACTCTTAACACAGCAAGCCCTGCCTCTCTGCTCATATTGGGTGAACTCATGTGTACTGTCTGTTCCCAATTTGAATTGTATTTCTTAAGATTTTCTTCATATGCACAGCTTATTCAAGGTACTCAATTACTTGGATTGAGCTGGGCATGCTCCCATGTCCCAGACAGCAGTGTTTTTCACATATCTATACATTTCAGAGAGGAAAAACCTGCTTGCTCATCCCACCCCTATCTTTGCAATGTCAGAAGACTAGTCATCTCATGTATGCTGATCAATTCCTGTTCAGGAGCTGTCCCAATTCTAAGTAAAGTGAGGAGGCCAGGTCTGGCTGGCACCATATTGGCTACATGGTGGATGGTAGGGTTGGCATCTTGTCCTCATGCTGAGGGTGGGGGGGTGGGGGGAGGGGAAGGAAAACCCCTCCCCCATCACCTGCCTACCAGGTAATGGATGTGCCTGGACCCCTGGATGCAGGGGCATGCACTTGGCTAATAGGTTACTCAATCTGTCAGTCCAGTGCCTGGGACTGGGAATTTCCTGAGAACCTGCCCTGTGTGCCGACCTATTTAGGCCCAGACCAGCCTAGCCACCAGGACTCCATGCAATGTGTGTCTCCATGATCGTGTCCTGTGTCCTGTCTCCTGGCTTGTCTCCAGT